ATGATTGTGCAATTATAGAAAGATACATATGCAGTAAGCTTGTCTCAATATATACGTTTAGTTATTATAATAAAATAATATACTGTAGAATATTGTTAGTTATTTTTAGATGCCTCACATTCTTACATATTTTATCAATGAATCTTTAATGGTTCAAAATAAGAGCAGACTTGTCATTTCAGCAAACAAGGTTATGTAACTTCGCAAATTACTTCACCAGGTAAAACGCTCAGGCAAGATAAACGGCATTTCTTTAGTTAGTATAAACTTGCTAGCCTCAATTAATGAATTTACAGTTAAATGGAGTCTATTGCATGTTTTTAAGGAAATAATATTTTAAATAATATAAATAAGTATATCACTTTTAAAATTCCTTGGTCTATTTAAAAAATTTTTCTCAATTAAAAAGTTTATACATATAATCCTATATCTGTACAGTTGGGTGGGTTTCCAGTAATACTTTAAGTGTAGAACGTAAAAAGAATATACAACAGTCTGACAATAGATTTTTTGAACAGTAGAGATCGATTGATTCATTCATACTTTTATGCAATTTGAAGAACAATAAACTTTGAGAAATCCCATCGGAAACAGCAGCAATTACTTTGAGAGCACGCTCTAATTCTAGCACAAACACTGTTTTAAGAAAAAAATGACTCAATTTACTGTAATACCTTAGTTTACTATGTTAGATGCAACTCTTCTAACATACTTAACTAAGAAAAGAGAAGCAAGTTATTGATGCCTTTAAAAGTGCTACAAGTTAGATACGAATCTCTGAAATTTACAAATCTTATTTGAGTGCTTATTATGCTATAGAATTTCACTAACTTTTATTTTATTAAAAAAAGTTTTATAAACCTCTAAATGTCATTTATGTTATACGTTGGTACTTAACAACATTAGTATTGAACTCACTAAGATAAGTTATGCATTTTTATAATTACTAAGAAGAATAAATGGCCTTTTAATTTAACATCATCTAAATAAATTACCCTAACCAACTGCGTTTTGTAGTAGAAATACTAACATTTATTCCGTAGAAACGTCTCATTTGTACCATAAAATCGACAGCTATCAAACGAGGATTTTATTTACTAAGGTTCGTCCATAAACTACGTCTTTATTTATAAGAAACTAAGACTCCCATAATTAAATTTCTTATAACTAAAGATTTTTAATAGTTTTCAGAAAGTATTTATTTACAATATCAATAAATTAGCAACTTTGTGGGAAAATTGTAAAAATTGTCCGTAATTTTTTGAACTCATCAAAAATCGTAACTTTTTGTAAATAATTTTGAAAACGTTAACTAAATAATTAATATTTGTGGAAAAATATTAGTAAACATTTTCTCCGTTATATAAAATGTTAGCTTTAGTGAAGTTTGAGCAGAAATATTATTAAAACTCATTTTTTGTGGCCTGTCCACAAATTTATCGAAGCTACTGTCGACGCTCGATGTGTATATATATATATATATATATATATATATATATATATATATATATATATATATATATATATATATATATATATATATATATATATATATATATATATATATAAGATAAAAATTTAAATCCAGTTGTTAAATGGAAAATAATTAAACAGTGTAATGCTTACAACATAACCACAAAAGCCTGCAAACTATGCATAAACGAATAATATGAAATTCTATTCTTCAAAAATAAAAATCCGTTAAACAAAAAAAGTGAAATGGTATGCAAGTGAAGGCATCGAAACAAGTTCCTATTTAATATCTCGCCCTATTTAATACGTGTGAATTTTCTGATTAAAAATTATTTTGTTTTGACGTTAGAACTCATTCTTATTGATTTGTTGATGTTTTTTTCTGTTATTTTCTGTATTTTGTATTTTTTTAACAGTTTTTCTTGATTTAAAGAACAAAATATGACTGATAATTGCCGAAAGGCATGAAACTTCAAGTTCCATTACAAAGTTGTATTTTTTCACATAAATATATATTGGCGTAGGAAGGTTTTTAAATATTTGAAATAACCAACTTTTAAATAAAAAAATATTAAAAAATTTTTTTACGTTCGTATATATGAAGAAAAGATTCTTCACAAAAAAAAAGTTACTGTGATAGGAGAATGGGGATTAGGGTTAAGATTTAAGGTTTCTTGTTCCCATTCTCTTATCAAAGTAATTTTTTTTGTGAAGAATCTTTTCGTCATATATATGAACGTAAAAAAAAATTTAACATTCTTTTTATTTAAAAGTTGGTTATTTCAAATAATTAAAAACTTGCCTACGCCAATATATGTATATATATATATATATATATATATATATATATATATATATATATATATATATATATATATATATATATATATATATATATATATATATATATATATATGAGGAAAACTAAATGTATAACTTTTTTAAAGTATTTATTGTAATGCAGTACTAAAGAAAATTGTTCTTTATGCCATGATACCTTTTTGTTCTATTGGTACATAAAATAGCTGATTATGGCAGGAACAACTAAAAATTTTTTTTTTTTAGTTTTTTTTAAAGAATGCTGTTATAACAGCATAACGAGCTTTGTCTATAGACAAAGCTTGCTAAAAATGCAAACTATATAAAAAAAATAAAAACAAAGTTAAACTTATATAAATTAGTTTAATTTTTGCATTTACATGTTTAATATATTTTCTTTGTAATATTACAACAGTTTTTATGAATTAAAATTTAAAGACAAACTCACAATAGAATTCTAGTATTGCATATTTTGCATGAATTTAACAAATTTGGTAAAGTTTAAAAAACAGATAAATTGTATAATTTTAAAAAACAGATAAAATTTATAATCTTAAAAAACAGATAAAACTTATAATTTTGAAAAACAGATAAAATTTATAATTTTATGTTAAAGTAAATGATTATAAGTAGAATAGGTAGATAAATAGCAGAAATAGTAAGTATAAAATAAAGTATTAAAATAAATAAGTAAATAAATAGCAGAACTTGTAAGAATTAAAGTAATAATTTAGTAAGTAAACTAGTAAGCAAAAATAATTTTTTTTGTTGTTGTTGTTTTAATGTAATTTGTGCATGCATTATTTAACATTAAACAAAAAAACAAAAATTAAATGTGTTTTCGTGCAAGACCAGTAACCCAAATAAAAATTAGATGCGATAGGCACTTTTTTTTGACTAACTCAAATTAGTTTCAATTTTTATAACTTGATCAACTTTATCTGTAAACAAGCTGAAAATAAATTTGGATGCTATGTAGAATGACTGAGATATATAAAAAAAACTTACTTTTAAATTTCTTAACAAAAAGGAAGCGATTTGGCCATGAGAATTGCTAGCAAGATAAGCAGGTGATAAACTTATAACTTTAAAAACAGTCATTTGCTCAAAGTTAGCAAATTTTGATAGAAAGAGAGTGTTAATGCATTTTTAAACCCCCTTATTGAAAAGCTGCTGATTTTCTAAATCTTACAAATGTTGATCTAAATTTATCAAAACTATGCAACAATTATATCGTTCCTAACAAATACAATACTTCTTGCAATACATATACAAAACAATACTTCTCATAACTTCTAACAGTAACATAGGTAACAGTAACATAACTTACTTTTTATTATTTTTACATATTATTATTTATTTAAATTTGTATCAAACTATTGTAAATTTAATTACAATACTTTCGTAAATGCTGACGACATGTAGAGATAAAAGTCTTACAAAAAAGCTATGTAGCCGTCGACTATCTATCGATTTGTTGTTGTATTTTAAATAGCTAAAACGCTGCAATTTGTAGCTATTGGTTTTATTTTAGTAATATCGTTAGCTACAAAGCTGCAATGCGTAGCCATCGGTGTGTCGTAATAATATCGTTAGTTAAAAAGATGTGGCATGCTATAGTATCGGCTAGCTATAGATTTTTCGTTATATCGTAGCTAGCTACCATATAACGACATATCTATAATTAAGCAGCCGTGGCGCAGTGGTAGCGCACTTGCCTCAGAAACGTAAGATCCGTAGTTCAAACTCTGGGCAAGTTTTGCTACATCGGTTAGGAAGGAAGCGTGAACTTCCTATTAAATGCTCTTCCGCGGTTCTCTGTGATAAGACCGTAAGGACTTCTTGGGGCACCTTGATCAACTTAAAAAAAAAAAAACTAGCCTTAAATCGTAATAATTTCGTTAACTACAAAGCAACGGTTTGTTGCTATCGACAAATTGTAATAAAATCAGTTACTCTTTTTTATATTTTAGTTCACTTACTCTTTTTTATATTTTAGAAACATTAATAAAAATTTAATTTTAAAAGGCTAAAAAACAAAATTATTCAATAATGTGAAAATTAAAAATTTTTCAAAAGTTGTCATAAAACTAGCTCGTTGCTAGGTCATTTCTCACCGGGTCGTCATTTCTCACCGGGTCGTCATTTCTCACCGGGTCGTCATTAGAAATTTTTTGTTTGTTCTATTGCTAGAACAAATTGTTTGAACCTTCCGTTAAAAAATTAACGGAAAGTTTGCTTTTATCAAATCCACTTATAAAGCGAAATGAAGCTTTAAGCTTCTTCAAAAATTAATAAAATAAGTTTATAACAAATTAGAACACAATTAAATTAAAAAGTTTTCTTCTTCTTTTTCATTTTTGTTTTGTTTACGTATATACTTTTTTTTATGCGGTTCAGTATTCTATACGCGATTTTTGCCAGAGATTACATTTAAGATGTAATCTTTTGAAAAACTTTAAATGAAAATGTATATTATTCATGAAATTCTTACTTCTAATATAAATACGAATAGTGTAATTATTTTCATACATTCAATATTATCGTCCTTATTAAAATTTTACGACCGCAAGTTATCATTTATTTATCTTGAGCTATAGAAAATAGGTTCAAACCAAAGTTCCCTAACCTTCAAAAAACAAGGGTTAAATTTAATAATTTGTTTTGCGCTAACACGTTGCTAAGTTCAATATTTCATTCGAATTTAAAGATATGAGTACAGTCTGCCTCTAATTAGATGTATTTAATAGATCAGAGGACGGAAAAATGGTGTAAACAAAAAATCACAACTACGATTTATTAAAACCATCTGCTTTTTACATTACGTGTGGCGTTATAGTGATTAAAGGAATTGATTTTTTGTTTATTGTTTTGAAGAAACTGGGAAGTATTAATACTATACCGAAGAATTTAAACAGTCTCGATTTAAAAAAGCAGCTTAAACTAAACAACAAACATGGCGGGCGCAGGCCCAATTTCGGAAACTCTTCCTGTTGTTTCAGTTCCCTCCATGCTTGTAGATGGAGGTAGATTTCTTAAATGGGACGATGTAAGCTTTTTATAATTTTTATAAAGGTTTTGATGTACATGTATTTTTCTAAGAAATTTAAAACTATTTCATTACGGCTTCGTAATATAATTTGCAATAATAAATAAAATAAAAAAATCCTTAATAGGATTAAAATAAGTACAGCTTACTAGCGCTTAAATTCATTTTTAAATGGAAAGAACCGAAATAAATGTATATTAGTAACCAGCACGAGTAAGATCGAATTCTTTAAAATCGCTATGTACTAGCTAAATTCAGACATAAGTAACTTATAACTTGTCAACATTTATTTGAATTATTGGATTCGGATTTTTTTTTTTTACTACTTTACCAAAATAAATAAACTTTTAAATGTGTTAAAGATCTCTAAAAAATATTTTTTGGGAAAAATAATTTATCAGAATTTTTTTATTTTTTTTTAAAATAAAACTTGGAAAAGATTTCTTTGAAAATATCAGAATGGGAAAACTGTAAAAAATTTTTATAAGAAATGATAATAGAAAAAAGTATAAATAAGTAATAATAAAAAAAGTAAAAAATAATAGAAAAAATAATAGATCTTTTACAATTCAAATATATTTTGGTATTGTTATTTCTACATTTAAAAAAATATAAAGTTTTATTTTTGCATTTGGTTTAACAATCTGTTAATCTCCCAGGTGACACATTTAGTAATACACATTTATATGTATTAGTTTGCTTTATTTTATATATTTAGGTAAAATGTTAAGAAAAAAGAATGAAATTGTAATGAGTTTTATTAGTTTGTTCCTTATTTGTTTAAAGTTATTAAACAAGACGTTGTTTTAAGTAATTGTTCCAAGTCAAACTTAGTAAAGTTTTTTGTTTTGTACTCATTATATACAATTATAAAATTCTGTAAAACTTGGAAAAGTTTTTTTTTGAGCTTTACATTTTTTGATTGTCAAACTATCTTGCATTGATTATCAAACATCCAGACGGTCTAGCTAACCCTCGGTTTCCAGGCTGAATAATTTATAATAACAGTCCACTTGATTTATATAATGATGGTTTAAATATAAACTAATAACTTCTATAATTTAATTATAAATAATATTTTTTTAAAGTGTAGAAATAATTTTTGATATTTGATATAATTTATATTGTAAAGTGGTTCATTTTCTGCATACAAATATTTTTACCTACATAGCATTTTAGTTTACTTATTAGTTATCTACTGCTAACTTATATAAACATATTTTTTAATAGCTAGGCTAACATTAATAGTTTTTTGTAGACTGTTCTGAAGAGAATAATGTAATAGGAAATTATTATCATCCTCCTCCTCTACCTCCTCCTTGTCATCAACATTATCATCATCATCATCATCATCATCATCATCATCATCATCATCATCATCATCATCATCATCATCATCATCATCATCATCATCGTCATCATCATCATCATCATCATTGTCATTATCAACATTGTCATTGTCATTGTCATCTTCATATTTGTTTTAGCTTCTTTGTTTTTGTGCAAACACAGATTGGGTGTTTCTCATTATCACATTAAGAAAGAATTTTCTTTTTTTAAGTTTTTCCATGTTTTCTTACTTCTCCTTCTAATTTTTTAACCCAAAACTGCAATTTTTCTAAATCTTAACATTCCACAAGCTTAAACTACCTTGACACAATCAGATATTCTCACTAATTCAAATCTCTGTTATCTTTTCTTATTATTTATAATCGCACTATAATCGTCACAATCAGAGTTGTTAGTCCTTGACCTTGGCCTTGCTTTGAGGCCAAAAATTGAGGCCTTGGCCATGGTCTTGGCTTTGAAACTGTTGGCCTTGACATTGGCCTTGGTCTTGGCCTTGAAAATTTTGGCCTTAACCTTGATTGTTTTGACCTTGGCCTTAACCTTGATTGTTTTGACCTTGGCCCTGATAAAATACATGTTTTCTTATTGATTTCGTTGAATTCTGCCTGTGTGGCCTTCGTCTTGATACTTTTGGCCTTGCTAACAACACTGGTCGCAATAGATAAAGTTCAGTGTCTAAAAAGAACAGCAAAGATGGGATAGATATATATCTATCTCATCTTTGTTGTTATTGCCCATGTTTGACTCCATACAGTATAACAATCTAGGGTAATTTTATGTCGATTGACCCAGGCCATGTATATATGATTTTGCTGATTTTTATACAGTCGAGAGTACTTAGTAAAATATAAATTTATTTCAAATTTTAACCTCTGGCTCTATAAATTTCCTGAAATATGACCATTTTACTTTTAGCAGATATTGGCCAGGCTCCTTTTGTCCCTTGTCTTGTTGTTATTTAAAGGTTTCAAGTCACATAATTTTATTTAAAATATTTGATTTTTTTACTTAAAAACTTGTACCTGGCTATTTTCAGGGGTGACAAATCCAATAAAATGATCAGAAATATAAACAATTATTATAAAGTATCTATATTTATCAATTTAAATAAATTTAGACAATTTTTATATACCTTTTTTTTTTTTAATTCTGATTCACTCCCAACAAGGCTGCAAGCAACCACTATTAAGTTGGGAATTACTAGGAAAAAAAAGAATAGCGTTATAGAGCAAGGAAAAAGTTGACAGAAGACTTAAAAAGTTGAAGGTTGTATAAGTCAGGAAAATATGAATATGGGAGAGAGTTCCAAAGGGTTAAAGTGTGTGGAAAAATACTAGACAAATAAAAGTTTTCAAAGCATGCAGGGACAGAAACAGTAAACAAATGAGACTTTGCTGATTAATGAGCCAAGCGAAACTGAGTTTTAGTTGATGCAACTAGAGAGGAAAGCTCCTTTTAGCAGCAACCATTATAGTATTTGTAGAAAAGAGAAAGAGATGGAACTTTACGACGATGAGAAAGAGGCTCAAGCTTAGCAGATATAGCCGGTTTAACTAGGTTTACAATGTATTTTTGGACCTTGCCTAGAAAAGAAAGTGCATCATTAGAAGAACTAGTTCAAATATGACAACGATATTCTATACAGGGACGAATTAGAGGTTTGTAGAGGTAGAGAATGGAATCAGGAATAAGAAAATTGTGAGAGCAATAAAGAGTCAACCTTAGTGGATGCTAATTTAGCCATCGATTGTATATATAGTTTCCATGAAAGGTCTGTATGAAACTATAATCCAAGAAGCCATTTATTAATATAGGAATGTCAACAGTATTGCGATAGTTGTTTGCAGTAAATAATTGAGTTTAGTTGAAGTTAAAATTTACAAACCACTGTGAGCCTAAATCTGTTACAGAAGTGTTCAGGTTCAAGAATGGCTGCTTGTTCTAAAAGATCAAAAAAAGAAGACTTTTTTTCAAGACTGGTATAAAGTTTAGTTATCAGCAAAAAGAGATACTTTAGGTGTGAGGATAGAATCTTGGGGTACCCCAGAAGTTACTGGATATAGTAACTGATAAGACTGTTTGCCTTTGAAAATGGCTTTAATAAAATGGTTAGAAATAAATAATTTGATGATCACAAAAACTTTTACACAATATAAAAAAAGCTTATGGAGAAAACCTGGATGCCAAACTTTGTTGAAAGTTTTAGATATGTCAAGAGCAATAGCCCTAGCCTCTCTGCCTCCATCTAATGCATGATAAAATTTTTCAGGCACAGCAGTTAGCAAGTCAGCCATAAAGCAAGCAAGTAAAAAACCGTATTGATTGTGTGACAGAAAGTTATTATATATATATATATATATTATATATATATATAATATATATATATATATATATATATATATATATATATATATATATATATATATATATATATATATATATATATATATATATATATATTATATAGCATTCAAACAAAAAACTCATTCATGCGCAAAGTATATCATCAACTAAATCAGAGATAAGACAAAGCAACTCTGCAGACATCCCTTATAATTTCTAGTAAACGGTCAGTCACATTGAATGGGTTAACTTTTAAAAAATCATCTAGGTTGGATGAGTTATTCTTAATAATTGACCTAATTTTTGGAATTACTTTTAAAACAGCTTGAAATTCTGTTTCAATCATACAAAGTTGGTTCTGCGCATCTTCTTCTGAATATTTCCTTCTATCTCCTTTTAGCACAGTAAAAACAAGTTAGGTCATTTTCAGAATTTGAATCAAACACACAAGCAGCAGAAGAATTGGTTGATATTAGTTTGCTCTTTTTTTCAAATTGGACACTCTTATTTTTATTTTCCAATTGAATTGGTTTGTATTTTGTTTTCCAAAGGCTGTCAGCTGCAGTCATCTAAAGAAATTTTGAATATGGGTAATATTTATATTCATTTCTATAGAATGCTTTTATATAATATATCTTTATATAAATAAAGTGGTGATAATATTATAACTTTAATAAATTATAATAATAAAAAAACCTTGTCTTCACTTGTCAGCATGCAACCATGTTGAATATCTACATGAACCCCTGCAAGAAAAAGTGAATTTTCTCGTAGGGCAATTTCCAGATTCATCATTCCCTTCAGAATATCTTTTGCTAACTCATGGTCTTTGCCATCAAGTTCACACCTTATTGAGTTCCAGTCAAAAAGAAACTCACCTGCAGTGATTATCTCTTGCTGAAGGCGAATAGTGAAATCATGAGCCGTCTCCAATACATCTTGTAGTTCTTCCGAGATTTCCAAATTATTGGCATCTTAAATTAATTTTTATTAAAAAGGCAAAAGTTAAGTTTAATTGTAATTAGTTTATTAATGTCAAAAAATTATCAAATTATACAATATAAAACTCTGTTAAAATCATTATTTTAGAAGGATGATTGTTTTTAATCTATATACTTGCAAATCAAAATTCTTATAAGTTAAATTTAAAATATTTTAAAAAAGATCATTGAATATAGAATGATCAAAATCCAATTGGAACAAGTATAAACCAAATTATATAGACAATATTTTCAAGTATAAACCATAATATAGACAATATTTTCAAACTTATCTTTACTTTGTTAAAGTTGAAAAAAATTTTTTGAGAACATAAATGGGGCATGGTCCCTGGTGCTCCAGTCTCACGGACCTTCTGGTCTTTTGCCCTTGAAATAATTTTAACACACATTTATCAGGGCTTCACAAGTGCTGAAATTTCCAGAGCTCCAGTTTGTTTGGAAAGTAATGAAAGATATATCGCAAGTTTCTGCTACGAAAAAATAGGGCACATGACTTAACCTCCCTTCCTGGTGGCTTGGGCCCTGGAAACAACTTTAACATGCACATTCATTGGCACTACAAAAATGCCTAAAGTTTCAGAGCTTCAGCTAGTCTCTGGAGGGTAATGAAAAAATCAATTGCAATATTCTGCTAGAAAAAACGGAAAATCCATATACTTGCAGATCAAAATCCTTATGTTTTCTGAAAGTTCAATAAATATAAATTGATGCATAATATTTTTTTTGCTCAAATCATCATGGCCCAAAGGGTTTATTGAGCATCAAAATCAGGTATATAAAAAATTGCCTAAAATTTTAAAATACTTTAGAATTTAAATTTTTTTTTTGATCATTTTAGTGGATTCATCAGTCATGAAAATGGCAAGGTACAAATTTTTATGTAAAAAGAGCAAATATTTTTAAAGTTATGTGATCTCTAAATTAGGGGTGTCCCGGATAACATTTTTTAGTTATCTGGCCGGATATCAGATACCCTGATATTTAACAATTAACCGGCCGGATACGGATAATGTAATTTAAATATTACATTAAGACAAAAGTTACCATAACCTTTCAAAATGGCAAGTTTTGTTTGGAAACTTTTTAAAATTAGTGACAGCTGTGATTCCATAGCTATTTGCAATCCATGTGGAAAGCAAATAAGCAGGGGGTGTAGTAAATCTAGTCAGCAGTCATTTTCTACAACTCCACTGCATAATCATGCAAAAAAAATTCATTGCAAATTGTATAAAGAGGAAAAAAAATATAAAATGTTCTTCGTCTGCTCAAGGAAGTTCAAAATGTAGCTCATTGATTTCAAAGAAGAAGTGCGAAATGCAAAAACAGATGTCTGTTGAAGATAGTTTTACATTAAAGAAGATATGGGATATTAATAATGAAAAGTCTAAACAAATTCATAGAAAAATTGCTATTATGATTGCTTTTAATAATCAACCATTTAGTATAACTGAGGATGATGGATTTATTGGTTTAATGGCTTTTTTACAACCAAGATACCTAATCCCAAGTAGGCATATTTTTTTGGAGACAGCAATTCCTCAATTGTATGATCAAATTAAAAAAAGGTTTTTAATGAAATTGCTAAGTCACAGTACATAAGTTTTACTTCAGATATTTATACTTGTCCGACGTCTCATGAAACATTTCCTTTGGATTTAAAAAAATTTTGAGCACAAAGATGCTGTACTCTATGCTTCACATTTTCCAGAAACTCACACAGGGATAAACATAGCTGGAAAATTTATAAATATGTTAGAAAACTGGGAAATTAATGCACCAAGAAGACATATTTTAGTCAAAGATGGTGCTACTAATATGTCACTAGGCAGTAAACTTATTCAAATAACATTAGTTCATTGCACAATTCACTTATTGCAGCTCGTGATTAAGGATGCAGTTTTATCGCAAATATTAGTGATAGATTTATTAACTAAAGCATGCCGAATAGTAGGCCATGCATAGTTGACTTGCATATCTTTATTTATTGACGAACGTCTAATTTAAGAGATTTATGTCAAACAAATTTCAAATAATTTTTATTCTAGTTAATAAGTTATCAAATATATCAAAGATGCTTAGTAAATTTATTCAATTGTTATTTTTCAAAAAATTTTTTTTTACACATTTGCAAAGCGCGCACAAATTAATGATAAATGCACAATAAAAAAAACTTTTAAAAGTGTTTTTATGCAAACAAACATTATTTCAGTTTATGAAAAATAAGAAAATTAAAAAAAAAAGCATGCACAATTTTATTTATAATGAAATCATTTGCTTTAAACTTTTAATGCAATTGCTAAAAGCAGAAAAGAAAATAAGCTTAAACATTACGATCGCTTTCTTCAATAAAAGAAAGCAATCAATTTGTTTAAGGACGGTTTCTTTTGAAGTTTTTGCAAAAGCATCTATTTTAAGTAAAATTATAATATTTTTGTGAGCGCATGCAAAAACCATGCTAAAACATAATTCCTTTTTTTTTATTATTTTACTTATAAGTGACGCAATTGAAAAAAGTTTTGGCATTTTTTAAAAAAAGTCTCTGCAATTAATTTTTTTTCATTTTAAATATGTGATTTTTGTAATAAATAAAAAACTATTGATCGCAAAATTATTTTGAAAAAATTGCTGAAGTAACGCGTTTGTTTTGAAAAATTTTAATCAAATGGCAACGTTTGCATAAGCAAAATTAAAGAAACATGATGTTTGTTTTTCTGTTTGTCTTTAAAAAATGCGCGCACATTTGTTGATTTGTTGATGAATAAAAATTTTTAAAGCAAGAATGGACAGATACAGTAAAATTAAAAATAAAATTAAAAATAAAAGATTATTTTTATTGTTATTATTATTAAAAAATGTATGTCTTAAAATGAAACAAAACATATTTTAATTTTAAAATATTAAACAAAACATTCTTGTTATTAGCAAGACCTCGCATGCTCTATCTATATTCTGGAAGTTGATCAACTTGGTCATGTATTGAGTTGGAAGCCGGAAGATTTTTCAAAGGTTTGATTACACTCAATACTTTTTTTTTAAACATAAATATGGCTATTTTTTTATTTATTACAAAAGTGTTTTTTTTAGGACACTGAAGTACTGGATTTGGTTCATGTTAGAGATGTGAGAACTGGGCAGTACGCAAAGGTTCCAAAACCACAGGTTCTATTTTAGTTTAATGATTTAAATAATAATGATTTAAAGAACAGACAATTTGATCTCCTAATCAGTATTGGCTGGACCACTACAAATTAGGAGGCATCGATTTTGTGTTTCATATCTTAACTCTAAAACTTCCAAACATAAAGAGAGAAGCTTGAGACAAATAATTTGGTAACCAGATTTTTTGCATAAAATTAGTGATACTCTGTATAAAAAAATTAAAAGAAACTACGCTAAAAGCAGAGTTAAATTGTCATCTAACATAATTTTTTTTAGGATATACGTGCTCGAGATGCAATTAAAATGTACAGTGCTTTTGAGCATGAGAGTAATTTAATGCAAGAACGTACCATAACAATTGTTTATGGAAGCAATTTTGTGGACCTTACATTCATTAATTTTGTTGCATCTAGTGTTTCAGAAGCGCAAGAATGGACTGATGCATTATTCAAATGCACAAACAATCTTCTTGAATTTAATTCAAGTCCTTTGAAGTGCTTAGAGAGATTGTAAGTATTAAATACTTTAGTATTTTGTTTTTTATGAAATCTTTGAACAAACCAGTAATTATTTATAATTTTATTACCGTGTCACCCATGAATTTATTTTTTAATGCATCAGTATGTATTTTTAATTTTTAGTGTCTTATTATTGTTGTTTTTTTAAATCAAATTTTAAAATTTGAAAACTGTTGCTCTTTTTTTTATGGAGCAATAATTATCTGTAATAAATGCTGAATAATTTGAAAATTTTCTTTTAAACAAAATATTGCAATCATTGTAATGTTGTTTAATGTTGTACTGACGATTATTTTTGATTCTGCTTTTAATTATATAATATAATTAATTTTAAGTTATTTTTTATTACAATTTTATTTTAACATTGTAACAATTATATTAAACACCTCAAATTAATTCATGTATGATAAACTTGTATATTTATATAGTTTTACAAGAATATATGTCCAGAAAAATCAGGAAGGAGAAATTCCAACAAAAATGTAAGTGAAGCTTGAGAAGTATATAATAGTAATAATGAAAATAACAATAATAATATTTATAGTAATTATAACAATGATAATTATTATAATAAAAATTATTGTTATTATTATTAGAGGTGTAATGCATATCTTTTATATATATGTATATATATTTATATATATATATATATATATATATATATATATATATATATATATATATATATATATATATATATATATGTATATGTATATGTATATGTATATGTATATATATATATATATATATATATATATATATATATATATATCTTCTATTTAAATTCAATGGTCTAAAAATTTAGAAATTACAGAATTTTTTACATTCATACATACACATATCATACTTATATATGCACACATATTTTGGTAGTTTAATTTGTAGTTGCTTTGATTAACTAGTGTACAAGTTATGTTTCCCATTTCTCATAAGACACAATGTTTTTGGGTAAAACTATTTTTGTAAGCCGCATTTGCAGTAGCTATCTTGAACCCAAAGTTGATATTTTGTCTTGTTGTTATTTTAGATTGATTTTTTGGTTTTATGTTTAGCAGATAATTTAGGTTTCGTAGAATACGCATTAGGATTTTTATACATATATTGTCAATGTGTGTGTCGGTGTTTTCAATGTTATACTTTGTTCTGGCGATTTCTGGACTAATACCTAAAGAT